TTCTCTAACATATAAAGCCACTCCACCACTTCTCGTTCCTTGCCTATCCCTTCTGAAGAGCTTATAGCCATTCATAGCAGCACTCCAGTAATGAGGCTCGTCCCACCATGTTTCCGTGCATTGGTGTAGATGCACTTCAGCTGGACTACTGATCTCCCCTCTAAGACTGGCCTGCTGCCCCTAGGCTCCTCTTTAGCATTCAGGGTTTTATCCCCATCCCCCTTTGGACCTAGTTTAAAGCCCTCTCAATCAGCCCTGCCAACTCATGGGGTAGGATCCTTTTCCCTCTTTGAGACATGTGAACTCCATCTGTCATCAGCAGACCTGGTGCTGTGTAAACTGCCCCATCATCAAAGAAGCCAAAATTCCACTGATGGCACCAGCCTCTGAGCCACGTGTTAATCAGATGGGTTTTCCTGTTCCTTCTAGTATTCTTCCCTGCTACTGAAGGGATAGAGGAAAACACTACCTGCGCTCTCGATCCTTCAACCAGTCTTCCCAGTGCCCTGAAGTCCCTTTTGATCACCCTTAGACTATTCTCTGCAACCTCATCGCTGCCAACCTGAAAGACTAACAGTGGGTAATAGAGGGCTGGACCAGACCAGGGAGTTTCCTGGTGACGTCTCTTACCCGGGCTCCAGGGAGGCAGCAGACTTCCCTGTGGGATGGGTCTGGCCAGCATATTGGCCAGTAAAAGAAAGAAAAAGAAGAAATGGGAAACTAAATTACAGTAGGAACTATTCTTTAGCTCTGCCTAGATGGTTCTTATGTTAGTATCACTTCCACGTTTTTGGGAAAGAAAAAAATTATTTTCTGGTTTTTGATTGTGGAACTGAGAGGTGAAGAATGTGTAACATTACACATTCCGGATCCCACTTGAGTTTCCTTGGCTGCCCAGATGGCCTTTCCTCCCTAATCTATTCAGTGGGGATGTTAACACACTTGTGTGTGCAGTGGAGTTTTATCACTGGTATATTGCTGTCTCCTGTGGGTATTCTTTCTGTTAAAAATAGCATCAGTGATGTTTTTAATGGTGGATATATCCTTGTTATAAACATTAACTCCCTTGTGCTCTTAACAGTTACTTTTAAAAATGCAGTCTTATATGATTCTGTCAATACCAGCATCTATGAAATAACTATTTTTTTTTTTTTGTCTCTTTTTTGGGGAAAGAAAATGGCATTGTAATGCAAAAAGTACTTTTTTGTTTGCACTTCCCATTGCCAGTCCTGACTAACTGGCTACTTTGCCTGTAAATTATTCAGGTCTTCCTTAGACTACCTCTGTGACTCATCTGAAACTTGTATAAAAAATTGTGTATGTACATGACTGTAAATAAGCTTATCCTTGGAAAACACGTTTGCAATGCCCCTTGGTTTGTGGGATGGCTGTTTGTTCTTTTGATGTGGGGATGTGGGCTGAGCAGGGGGGAAGGCTTAGGTAATTTGTTTATTTTGGAAAGGTAGTAGTTCTGGATGGGAATGAAAGGGGGAAGGATCCAAATTGATTATGTCAGATGTTCTGGGAAGGGAAAACGTAGAGTAATAGGATTTTCATCTCTGGTTGAAAAGCAAGCCAGCCCACTGTGCTTATTACTAATCTTTGGTTGCAAAGTCTGTAAGATCATTATTTTTGCCTTATTTGACATATTTGAGTAGTTCTGAGGGTTTTTCCTGTTCAAATATCTTTAACACTTTATTTTGGCAGATAAAGATTAAAGCATGAAGAGTATCTTTTTGTGTCTTGTCTTCAAGACATTCATCAAAAGATGCGTAATCTGTCAGATGTGTTCCAAAGACCCCCAGCAGCTCCTCTTTTGGAGTTGAACTGAATCTCTTGTATAAATCCAGAGTTTCTTATGTTGTATACCATAGATTATAATCTTCTTTGGGAATACTCTAAATGGATGCTGTCCCAAATGAAATGACCCCAAATTATCCAATATAATACCTCCTTCTTTTGAAAAAGAAAGGAGGCATTAAGCAGCAGTTCTTGAACTTTTTATTTTAGATTGTCTGTGTTCTTCCTCTGTAATAATAATTGTCTTTTTTCTCCCGAATTCCCCTAGCATAGCCTGCAAAAGTTCCACTCATTCCTGAATGCAACTATCGTAGTTTTAGGAGGACTGGAAGAAAATACTGCTTTCCAGGCTTCAGCAGAGAAGGTTCTGTTTAGCCTATTCATCAAATTCTGCCATCTTCCACTTCCCAGATGGCTCTTGACTGGTTTAAGCCCCCTGAAAGAGCCTTTTCCCAAGTGCCATGTGTATTTTTTTCTCCTCACTATCACTAGTATTTGCATCATGTCCCTATATAGAGGACAGGACAGAGAAAACTCAAGGGCGAGCTGAATTTCTTCTGGAGGTTCTTAAGTGAATGCTTCCTTCTTTCCTGCTATTTGAAGAATGTCAGTCCTAAGGATGAAAAAAAAAATGAGTCAAATAAGAGCTCGGAAGTAACGTAACCTTTGTAGATCATAACTACGTGGTCAATTCTGGAAACTTCAGTGAAGTTTCTCTATATTTTTGTTACCTTCAGTAAAAGTGGGATGTGAGACATGCATGACTTTGAAAGTAATATGCTTGACTTTGCAGGTGAAGAAGTGCTGGCATCTTGTGATAATGATGTAATTCATCTTTTTTTTCCTTTAGCGTACATAGTAGATTTCAGTGCTGCTGGTTGAAATGAGCCACCAAATGAGCTGATTAGGAATGAAAAATTTGAAAAGTGAGATCCCACTGGATCACATTTATATCAAGAGCAGTGCTTTCACTCTCTGCTCTTGAACAGACTCAGTAACTGAAGTCACAGTAGAATATAAGAAAGAAAACAGGGTTTTGAGGACTGCACTGGGCGAAGTTCAAATTCTAGTGAATGCAGGACCAGTCTGGGCCTGGATGAAGTGTTATACAGAGGTAAAAGATAATCTGTTGGTTTTAAGTCTGAATGGTGTAAAGTTGTATGACTTGAAAAAGAATGAGTAGACAGGTAGTAATTACTGATTGTTTCCCTCACTTTTTGGAGTTGATGGCATATATCAGGTATCGGTGGAGAGTTTTAGCTCTTAGTATAGCACTGTAGAAGTGCACTCCAAGAGTTAGAACTAGGTAACTTTTTTCCTTAGATCCTAAAAGTCTTCAGTGCCTATGGCAGTTTTATTCTGAAGTCTTGAATTTATCTCTCAGCTTTAATAAGTGTTGGTTTTGCTTGCAGATGCAGGTGCATCTGTTGCTGATCGTGAGGCCAGTCTGGAGCTGATTAAGTTGGATATATCACGCACATTTCCATCCCTGTATATTTTCCAGAAGGTGAGATTTCTGTAATTTTAGTTATGACAGCTTTAAACTTCTGAATAGTTAAACAAGAAAAGAAACCTAGCTGGCTAAATATGGAATAGTTTTTAGAAGCTGTTTGTATAAAACAACAAAAATAAAATTAGTTCTTTTCTACATATAACAGCAAATGGTCATATTTTTTTTTTTTTTTAAAATGAGTAGAGACACTTAGTGATGGACTGTAAAGCTTTTTCTCCTGGAAAAATTGCCTGTGGTTCCTATTAATGTTTATGAAATTACATGCTAAAATGAGAATATTCTCACTGCTTCTACAGAAATCTTGATGCATTTTAGTACACATTTTCAGGCTTTATGATTTTTACATAAATATAATATACGCACACACATGTATATAAAATAGCGTGTGCTACTGTAATACAGTAACTTGTGTTATTAAGAATTAAAACATCCACTGCCTCTGAAAAGGAAAAAAAAAACCATGGATGTGTACCAGATACCCTAATTTTCCATTATGTACTGATTTGCACTGAATTATTTCATAGGATTATTGGTCTCTTACTTTTCCTTTAACATCTCAAAAGCATACATGGTAACACTTAGAGTAAAAACTGGTGGTATTCTAGATGTGAACAAAGCAATAATTCACTGGCTTACTTGCGTCCTGAAATACTGGCTTATTACCTCCTTATATTTATAAAATTATTTTGAAAAAAATTTTTTTCTTCTTTTCCCCCTCCTCTCTCCCCTTGTATTAGGGTGGTCCTTATCATGATCTCCTGCATAGTGTTTTAGGAGCATATACCTGTTACAGACCAGATGTGGGATATGTAAGTATTTGCTGTAAAATGTTTATAACATGGCAAATAAGCTTAAGATGTCATGTATTGGAGTGTATTTAATAAGTAGATTGCCTAAACTTTATGCTACTAGCACTTTGAGAAAAAAATTCAACCTTGGCACTTACTCATTTCGTAGCAGTTACAATGATGGTAATTCTTAGAGATGATTAAATAGCTGAAAATGTACTGAATGTCAAGGATGAGTATACTGTCAGGCTTGCATGGAAAATTTTAAACACCCAGAGTACCTATAGGAGGGAAAAACACCCCACAAACCAAAAACAAACAAACAAAACCCAAACGATAGCGGACTTCCAATGAGCACATAGCCTATTCTGTCCTAGTGTTGCTCCCATTGCTGCCTAGTGCTGTCCTAGTGCTGCCATTTCCATAGTGATACTCTCTGTTTCACTACTAGGCATCCTAAAATCCAGAAACTCCTTATTGGTGTTATCTTGTCAAAGATTAATTGCTCCATTTGAGTTTAGTGAAGATAAAACTGTTTGCAGCAAACATTAGTGTGTTTAAAAAAAACCCAAAAAACAAAACTAAAGAAACCAAAACAAAAGCCAGGAAAACAAAAAAAACCCGCCAAAAACTCATGAAAAACTGCCAAAAACCCCACAAATCAACCAACTAAATCTAACATCTCTATGAATGGTGTCAGCTTACAGAAGCAGTTAAATAACAAACAGATGCTTTTTTTCATTCTTTTTCTTTCTTTGTTACTGGGGCTAGCTAGGAACACCTTTTACAAGCTCTAATCACTTCTAGGCTAAAAGGAACTTGAGTTTTAAGTCTGATCCATTTAACAAAGCGTTATTTAACACAGGGTGTGTTTTCCTCTCTAAATCAGACATACTTGGGACTCTGCATCAATATCCAGTTGGTTTTTCATGTTCAAATGTTTTTAGCCCTGAATTTTGTCATCTCTGACCTCATTTTTGGAGACCCTCCCATACTCTTTAAGTGAGATTACACACTCTGCAGGTTCTGAGACTGACTGTTCCCAGGGTGGAGTTTTAAAAGTCAAATAAGTAATTTTTCACAGATAGGTATTTTCTTTTTCATTAGGAACACAGCTAGTCTGGATATTTCTGATCATAATTTTTTAAAAAATGTTAATATGGCAGTAAATTTAATGTAATATTATTTCCACACCCATCTATCCCACAAAAATGGAAAGCTGCTGGACTGTTTTTGAAGCATATCAATACTCTTTTCCCTAGTCAGTTAAAATACCAAGTGCATTTTTTTAAATGAGGAGCGGGCAGCATAAATGCCTAGAAATGGTGGAATAATCATTATTGCAGTTGAAATTTGTAAAATTATTTTTAGTATAATGGGTATTCAGATCATTAGTTAACAACAACAAGAATAATGCTCTTCACTTTTATTGCAGGCCAAATTTTTTGTGAGAGAATAATCATGGAAAAATGTAAATTTGCATTGTAGCTAACCACTTAGAAGTAATTTTACGTATGTGAACAAATACCGTTTGGCAAGTGGAAAGATATGTATTGAATGTTCTGAAACAGAACTGTGTCTCAATTCCAACATATCTGTCTGGGTCTAAACTGTCCCATATGTGAGGTTTTTCTCCATGTCTGCTTTTCCCATAGCTTAACAATGAACTTAAGGCCAAGTTTTGTGTCTTATGAGCTCTGCGTCCAGCCCATGTGGTTTTAACTTTCTTGCATTCCAAGTCCTGAGGACTTGTGATCATGAGACCTCCCAGAACTTCCATCAAGCACCTAAAACCGGCATCTGAAGAAACACTCTGTTTCTTGCTGAAATCAAATTGACTGCATGCATAAAAATTGCTTATCCATGTTGTTTCTGTTCATCTGGAAATGTTATGCAATTGTATTTGATATATTGCAGACTGTAAATGTTTGCATTTCCAAAGATCTAAGATGTACTGAACCTACTCACCTGTATTTGCCCAATGCTTTTCCCACTTGAAGGTACAAGGGATGTCCTTCATTGCTGCTGTGCTCATTCTCAATCTGGAAGAGGCAGATGCTTTCATTGCCTTTGCTAACCTTCTAAACAAGCCATGCCAACTGGCCTTTTTCCGTGTGGATCACAGCATGGTATGCACAGAGTTTTCTGGTTTTGAACCATAATATTCTTTTGACTTGAAGCATAGTTGATTTATTGATGGCTTCCTTTTGTCCCATTGAATAATGGAGAACTTTAACCTGTGGTTACAAAATTGAGATCACCAGATACGAATCCATAGGACACATTCTACTGTTTTGATTTTTCCTCTAGAAACACTTAATTGTTGCACTTACCCTAAGAAGTCATGTTGTGTTATGTTGACATCCTCAGTTCTTGGTGGGGTTTGTGTTATTTTACAACTAAACATTCTTTTGATGACTGCTTATGAAGCACTTTGCTATCTCTACAGATGCTGAAATACTTTGCAGCCTTTGAAGTATTCTTTGAAGAAAATCTTCCCAAATTGTTTCTTCATTTCAAATCATACAGTCTTACTCCAGACATATATTTGATAGACTGGTGAGTTCAGAGAACACAGCAAACCTAACCTTAGAACTGTTGGAACACTTTCCATTTTGCTATAGGTTTTTCAGAAATAGAAACACAGCATAAAAAATGCATTCAGTAGGTGTTTGTGTACCTCAGCTTTCTAGGTCTTGTGAAATTATGGTGAACTGTTCTGTGCAACCACAGTTCCTGTGGCAGGATTCAAATTTTATGAACTGGGATTAGGAGTGACATCTATTCAGATAAAAAAAACAAAACACACAGGAGTCCTGTGTGTCTCATTTTCTTGTTGCTGCAGGTAAGTGTCAGCTATGTGTAACATAAGTACGGAAGAGGAGGCTACTACACTGTATTTGTCTTATGACTGATTGTAAGTGACTTGATGAAACGAGCATAATCAGCTGCTGAAGAAAATATTAATATAGGAATAGATACTTTAAAGCAGAAGGAGGACAAAATCTAGGACCTGGTTTGGGAAGGAATAAACTTGGAAATACAGTAAACACTTTGAAGTAATGAATATTCTGAAGCAGAGAGTACCAAACTACATTATGTGCCTGTAATGGAAGGCAGTAAGACAAGCATCCTTGAAGTGTGTATAGTGCTACCTAATATAGAAGGTCTATTCGTAAGTGTGTGTGTGTGTGGATAAGGATGTGCTTCATATAGGATTATTATATGGGTTAGAATTTTCTAATAGAGTAAATTGAATTGGGTAGAATTAAATAATATAAAAACATCAGTTCATCTGAACTTCAGCTATAAGATGCACCTTATCAGTAAGCAACAAGTCTCAGCAGGAGCAGGTTATACAATAGCAGTGTTGAGTAAGGAGTGTGCTGCAGTCCTGAGAGTTTAGGCAGATTGAGAGAGGTATATATGTTACAGAAGTAGTGCTGCTGTACAAAGCACTAGAATATTCTGCTTCCAGTTACCTGTGAGAAATGAAGATTGTTATTCCTGCACATGTTCCAAAGATGGCCTTGAGGTAAAGCGAGCTCCTTTTGTAAAGGAAAAGTAGAAGAGGTTATGGTAGTCTGCAGTAAGGAGTGTTCTGAGGTTCCTGAACCACTTCCCAATAGGAATAATGGGGAAACAGAGAACACTGTGCTTTGTATTAAAGGAACCACTACAAATTTATGGGAGAAGTTCTACAATATGGTACATACAGCAGACTGAACTCTCTGCCCATGTATAATGAATGCTTTTTTAAAAATAAACTTTGCAGTAAGAAAAGCAATTGGACTCTTCCCAATAAGAATAGAACAGCAACTGTCTTTAGATTTTGATGATTTTTAATGTGAATAGAAATTCAGAATGTATCATGGAAATGCAGTTATTGAATTCTTATTAGTACATTAGAGGGATGTAGCCTTCTATTGAAATGATTTGCGGCTTTAGATTTAGCTTAGAAAATAAATTATGAACTGTATGGCTTAAATAATGGGAAGGGTTAAATTACAGAGTTATGATCTTTCTTGCTTAAGTTCTTATTTGTATATTATACCCTGTTTGAGTGTAAAGATACTTGTAACTTCTCTAGGCAGAGCTTCCTAAAGGAGGTGGCTTTCAAATGGATGATTTCCTGTAGCATAAAAAGAGATGGGTTTCAGAGTAGGAGTTCTGACTTCAAAAACTGGAGACTTGTGGATCTTTGAAATATGGAAAAAAAGAACATATGAAATAATTTGTCATCTGCTTGCTCTCAGCTAATGTACTGAGATTTAAAGGGGGTTATATTTTCGTCTTTCTGAAATAGGTTAAAGTTATAACTGTTCCTTCTTTTCTCAATTGTAGGATTTTTACACTCTACAGCAAGTCATTACCACTTGATCTGGCCTGTCGTGTCTGGGATGTTTTCTGTAGAGATGGAGAAGAATTTTTGTTTAGGACAGGATTAGGAATCCTTCGGTTATATGAAGATATTCTCCTACAGATGGACTTTATTCATATAGCACAGTTTCTAACAAAACTTCCAGAAGACATTACATCAGAAAAGCTTTTTAGTTGTATTGCAGCTATTCAGATGCAGAATAGTAACAAAAAATGGGCACAGGTGAGTTTCTTGGAGAGGATAGATATGTAGAGATAGATATATCTCGAGAGAGAAAGATAGAAACAGACATGTTGGCACATGAGTATATGGGGCACTTAATGACTACTTTATGCTGCATGTTTGACTTCTGAGCAATGGGCACTTCCTTTCTAGTGTCTCATTCTAGAAATTAATCTCCATGCTAATATTGTGGTGGTTAATACTGATCTTTTTTATAACACTGGCTTTTTTAATATCAAATAATTTACTTTTCCAGGTGTTCACCTCACTGATGAAGGACAACAAAGAAGGGGACAAGAACCATAGCCCAGCACTGAAAAGCTAATCGTCATAGTGTTGAGGTCAATTGAAAATGTGGAAATGACAGAGGAGTTTTCACATCACTTCTATGTGGAAAAGCACAATAGAAAATGTGAAAATGGGATGGAAAATTGACACGGCTCTCAGTGGAGTAATGAACTGATGAAATCTTCACCCTTTTGCCAGTATTAGCTTTTGTCGTGGGAAGATTTGTTTTCACACAGAATACGAAAACTTACGAAACTGAGAAGTGGAGGAATTCATATTTAATACTTTAAAAGAATCAGCTCAATGCAATAAACATTTGTAATAACTTCTGTTGGTACTTTAAAAAAAATTTTGAGGCATAACTTTTTTTACAAATACCACAAAGGCACTTTTTTGGGGGGATGAGGGAAATGCTAAATCTTAAGGCCCCAAAACTGCTATCCAAACCAAATGCTTTGGTACAAATATTACCTCCAAAATTAACCATTTGAAAGTATTGAGGACCAAATAAGGTTGTTTGGTATGTTTATGTGCAAGATGGTTAAAATTTGGGAAGGAGTATTGTCTTATTTACTTGTTTTTGGTTCTTTTGGGTTTTTTGTTTTTTTTTTTTTTGTTGTTATTTTTTTAAGTTGCAGCTTCATTCTTCAGTCTGGGCAAATGTAATTAACTCAGGAACTGTGGAAGTGTTGTGCCCAAACCTGTTAAAGGAAAAACCGTCTGAATTTTAAACAGTGGTAAGATCAGGGCTGTTACTTTCAAAGTGTATGGCTTTCAAAGCAAGTGGTGTTAAGCATTTGTTTTGGTGTATTGGCTGTGCAGCTTATTAAAAATGGAGTTGGGTATTCTGTTGAAAGGGTTTTGCCACCAGAAGTTTTATTTTATCGAGCCATTTCTAACTAAGAAATACTTATGTGTAAAGGTGAACACTAGAAGCTGACAAAGCTATCTGCAGACTTTGTGTTGTCAAAGGAGCAGTCACTTTTAACACTTCGGAATAATGTAGACACAGAATTGTTTTTGAAACTATCTTTTATTAGTGTGCAATACTGAAATCCAAAAAGCATCTGGTTTAGTGATACTTAATTCTTTAACATCTTTTAACTGTGAGACATAAGGTCATACTGTATGTGTCATGGTGGATATTTTCAAATATTTCCTGTTCTCGAAGATGCTGTACAACAACTTGTGATTGTAGGGGATGGAAATTTAAAATGGATAGCACTGCAGGTGAGGAACACTTGCACTCTCTTGGTCCATTTTTGCTAATATTTAATGTAAATAAATTCCTTACATGTGGGTTTTTGTAACTGGTCCCTCTGTGGAAATCAAGTCAAAATTACCATTATGTATTTTTAAGTGCAGGAAGCTTCCAGTTGTCTGATGTTTAAAAGCAGAGTCTACATAATTGGGGTAAAGATTTAGTGTGGTGTAACTTACATTGCTATCTGGTTTAAAAACTACATATATGCTACTTATAACATTACAATTTGAAATGTAAATGTCAGATTTTTCTTAACTTATGTATTCACTACTTTAATTGGATCCAACTTGTCTTATATTTTTGTGTTATCTTGTACAGTTTTCTTACTTTTCAACTATAAATCTGTATATAACTGTAAATAGAAGGATCAAGCCTTCCTTTAAGACCACTAGTAACAATTCCTGTGTAAATAAAACTTACAGCAGATGTGTGCTGTGGTTCTTTTTGATTGTTCCATAACTTGCTGCTAAGTAGGGCGAGAATGTTGTACTGATGAAAACTGAGCTGGTCATTGCAGTAAGTAACTACACTTGGTGTCACCTAGATTTCTTGCCTCCTGAGGAGCTGAGGTGAAGGGCAGTGTAGTACGCTGCGAGGTTAGCTTTGCTCTTTTTGAGGCTCGGGAGTGAACTCGGAGGCGGATACTCTGGTCCTGGAGGGAGTGCTTTGGAGCGAGGCAGATGGTGGAGCATTAAAATAAAAGATTGATATATTTATGAAGTGGGAGCAGCTCCCGGCCGGACCGGGCAGCGCCTGTCCCTCAGCAACTACTGC